TCTGCATCCATAGATCTTCTCTTTTGTCTAATTGGTCGAGCTTCTAGGTTGACGTTTAATCTGTGGCACAATACTTTGGGGTTGATTCCTACCATGTTCATGTGTATCTAAGCGAACACGTCGAAGTTATTCTTTAGGAATCCCACAAGACTGTTTGCCAATTCATCGCTCAGATTGCTACCAATTTTTAGCACACGAGTTCAATCTTCCTTGCTAATAGATACTTCTCGCAGCTATTCGGTTAGCCGTGCTGTGGGCTTTTCTCTATGGATGTAAAGATCTATGGTGTCTTCCAGAGGCTTGGGCTTGGGCTTGGGCTTGGGCTTGGGCTCAGGCTAGAACTTAGTGATGACCATGGTTCTCGGGAGCGGCCATTTCAATGCAGCATGAATGACACGGTTGTAAAATTCTTATGATTCTTTCCTACAGCTCTTGATCGTTGCGATCTTGCCTAGAGTCGCGAACCTCATTGCTTGGCAATGTACCATGGTGATTGCACTCAGATCATCCAAGATCAGTTTTTCAAGAATGACATTGTAAGTTGTCGGGTAATCCACCATTACATTCTGCATCATTGTCCTGATCTTGGGTTCTGCCCCCAGGGTCACGAGTAGGTTGATTGTTCCCTTAGAGACTAGGCTATCCTCGGTGAATCCATAGAGCAGCGATGGACATGCCTTTAGGTCTCGCTCCATGAACCTCATTTCTCAGAAAGCTCTCAAGAAAATGATGTTCGTTGCATTGCCATTATCGACCATCACTCTAAGTACTAGGGGGAATTGTCGATCCTGACTGCGATTACGATTGTATCATGATTGTGGTGAAAAGATTCTTCACATTCTTCCACAGTGAATCCTTTCACCTCACTCTCTTGCCTAGGCTGCTTTGGCGATTTTTGTTCACAACTCATTATTCGGGGGATCGAGTTTGTGTCCTGACCTCTCGCGCATATTGCTCGGGAGAGTGCCTTGAGCTCTCTGCAATGTCAGGACCCCCATAGATCATGCCTACCAAAACTTCGTTATTGGTCGAGGTTTGCTGGACCTGATTATTCTGCTTGCTTGTATTTTCACGAGCTGGTGTCTCTTTGACATATTCTTTCAGGTGGCCCCTTTGAATCAGATCTTCGATGGCATCCTTTAGAGCCCAGCACTCGTTGGTGTTGTGTCTGATGTCCTGGTGATATCGACAATATTTTTTGCGATCTCTTCTGTCCAGAGCCCCTCTCATCCTTTCTGGAGTGGGCAGTCTCTTAGCCTCATAGGAGACTTCATATATATGAGCTATGTCTTAAGTAAGGAGGTGTATTTTGCATATTGCGGAAAAGGTTGTCTTTTCTCATGATTTTCTATTTTCTTCCTTTTTTAGAACATGTTCTGGTCCCTGTCATTATAGTCTTGGCCCCTCTGTTTATCGACTAGGAGATCTTGTCGCCTATCTGGGGCTTTTCGTGGCGAGTTTTGGCTAGGACTGCTAGCGAGCTTTTCACTCATTGATGCTTGGCAGCTATTTGATAGAATTCTGCCAAGCTCACATGGTCTTCACTTCAGAGCTCTTTCCATAGCTCCATTTGTAGCCTAATACCCACGATTAGCAAAGTCTAGATTGATTCTTCATGTGCATCCGCAACCTTTGCCTGCTCGTTTTGGAACCTCGTTAAGTACGAGGTTAGTGTTTCGTCTCTTTCCTAATGAATATTGCTCAAATAGTTGAGCAGCATTGCAAACTGCCTCCTCGCTTGGAGTTGCTATAGGTATAGCGAGAAAAACTATTGCCAAGAATTAATCGAGTTTGCCTTGAGCCTTTTGTAGCACCTCTTGGCATCCCCTACCAATGTGACAGCAAAGCAACAACATTTTGCCAAGTCATAGACTTGATGTAGCTCCATCAGATCGTTGAAAGAGTCTAGGTGGTCTCTAGGATCCCCTTTCCCATCGAACTTGCTCTATAGCGCCCTGAATCCTTGGGAAAGTGAGGCTTCGCAAACTTCTTCTATGAATGGAGAGCTCACTATCTCTTTCGCCGCATTGTTTTGGCGGGCTCTTAGATCATCGAGCATTTTTGCACCTGATTTAAGTCTTCGTTATGGGGTTTACTTTGGCTGGCTCTATTCAGACTTAACTTGAGCAGATAAGTTTGCAAGTTTGTTGCTTGTGAGCCCCCTCCATTATGTGCATTGATGCACGACGTCAAGTCATGATGGCTTGGTTGGTAGGTGCTATCATGCTTATTAGTGCGTTGTTCACAACGTTGATTATAACCGGGACATCGATCATTGCTAGATTGGCGCACATTACTCATCTTGTAAACTTACGAGGTTTGAGTATGCCTTTGGCATGTGTTAAAACTAGCATGTTGACGTTGGGGATATCGTCGAGTAGGTTAAGTATCCCTTTGGTGACCAATGCTTTCATCTTCCCTCATGGGCTCTTTGCCTGGTCGCCTCTCGGGGTTAGTTTGCCTGCGAAATTCTTGTTCGTGAGCAAAACATGCCCGACAGTGTCGGGATCATCGACCGTTCCTTAGTGCCGATGAACCAGATTGGTCGTCGGTTGAATTCTGACCCGTTGGGGTGACATCAGCGAAGCATGATTGGTCGAGGTCTTGGGGGACCATTCTTAGGATTTGATGTCCTTGTCCCTTGCTAGTTTGCGGATTGCTACACCAGCGACATTGGCGGTCGACGCCTGATGACGTTTTGATACACCTCTTGGTGCATGATTTCCACGTTTTCGTGGTTTCCAGTAGTGGTTTTTGATCCTGTATGAACCATTGTAGGCCTTGAGTGATCGGGTCATTGGATTGTTTGCCAGAAATTCAAAAAATTTGGCAGAGACCCTCATTCTAGCGCCAAAATGTTGATACAAGATTTTACATCAACAAGAGTGATCCGATTGACCTTGATGGAATTTGAATTGATGTATGTGTGATTTAATGAAAATTAGCAATGTATGTGAAAATCAGAAAAGAAAATGACACAAGAGAGTTTGTAAAGTGGTTCAGCGAGTTATACTTTAAGCCTACGTGATTGTTTTCGTATGTGCTATGAGAGCTTACAATAATAATCCTAGAACAATTTGCTAACCCTTTTCTCATCGTTGGAGTGGGTTTATATATATATATAGATTTTGTATAAAGGAAAGAGCGAAAATAAAGGGATTACAATTAAGATTGAAATGCAACTCCGATATTCTCGCGATTGAGTGTTGAGCCCCAAGATTGCTGTAGATCTGATCCCTTCCGAGATATCCAAGATCTAACATTATCTGTGAGCTAGTTGAACAACTGTAGGGATTAGTCACAACTAGCTTGAGCTAGGTCGAGCTACATCTCGAAGAGCTTATGCTGGGTCAGATAATCGATTGAATCGAATTGATTATGGATCAACCTATAATCTCGTAATTCTTTGAGTTTGATGGAAAAATCACACACAAAAGCCCTTAAAAATCAAATTTATTAGTACACTTACTCAATAGCGGAACTTTGGAAACCAATTCATCCAATTAATTTATTTTTTTCTTTATCCAAAAAAGTTTGGCTGTGTTGTTGCATAGCCCTACCTTTAATTTACTTAAAGTTAAGAACTTAAAAAAAAAAGGATAATCTATTAAATTAAATTAATAAATTATATTTAAATTTCATAAATAAACCCAATTAATTGATTAATTAATTAATATACCATTAAATTTGGATAAGCAAATCTGGTATCAGAATAGATTAAACAATAGGAGCAATTATGCATAATTTCAATAGATTGATAGCAACCCCACTAGAGTTCCAAACAATTAATTGAGACACACTTTATTTAATTAATTAAACTAACTTTCACACCAGCTTTATCAACATTTATTCATTCAAAAAAATTGCAATTGGCTCTTGGAGGTTGATATAATCACCGAAAATATGAGTAACCATTGTACTGTATCGTAATGGACTGACGTTGATATAAAATTGAAAACTACAAATGTGGATCAGAAATTTCGAATACAATTTTTGTAAAATTGAATAAAGATTTGTATTATTATAGATCATCATACTTAGGGGTGATTGGTTTTGGGTACTCAGCATTTTTTAAAGGAACGGAACCAGAAACATAGGTTTGGTTTCAATTACCCCTATACTTCTAAAAAAATTATAATTACACCCCAATAGTTACAAAAATTACAATTCAATTCTGGTTCCTACTCGGGTAATCGGACCTTGGTTTTGGTTCTGATCCCGGTTTCAACACTGTAGGCACTAGAATTGAATCCGAGAATTTTTGGTTCCAATTTTCTAGAATCGGAACCAACGGGTGGGTACCCATCGATTCCTGTTTCACCCTTTATCTATGCTCACCCCTAAATTCATACTTACGATAGAATAATAATATATTTACAAAGTTGGGATCATGACTTATGTGATTCATTATGTCAAACACTATATTAATTATAATATATGCGATGAGATAATGAGATCATTAGGTTATTTTCTTGTTGTAATATATGAAACATCGAACTATACATCCTAATATTTACATTTAATGTTAATAATAGAATATAGTATTTAGTACGTATCGTTTTACCACCTATAAGATGAACCTATATTGCAAATCTACTATTGCTTAGTAATATTAATCTATAGGGTTAAGGACATTGAGAACACTTAAGGTTTGATTAAATAACAAAAATATCCCTTAGATTTATGAAATAATAATATCTACCATTACTAAATTGGTAGTGAGCCGTTAGATAAGTCAATGAATATTTACTTAATTATCCTCGAATCGTTTATTTTAAATCCCAAAACTCAATAGTATGAGAAATTTTCGTGAAGAAACCTTAAGAAGATTTTTTGTCATTTATCAAACCTTAGGGGTATTATTGTAATTAACTCTGGTCTTCTATATCATTTAATTTCTTTATAAATAGTCAATGTTGTTGTGGCATATCCACCAACATACAAAAGTACAAACTCAGCAAGAAATATGTATTGTTACAGACAATTAAATTACATGCTTTTTTAGGTGAGCTTTGGTCTCATCGTTTGCCTCAACACACATATAGTATAAATCAATAAACAAGTCCTTCAGGATATATAGTCATAGATGTTTATGTATATATTGAGCCTTATCAATTAGATTTTTCAAACAAAAATATGGGTGCCCTTTACCAAGAACCCTCAACTCTTCTCCAAGATCTCAAAGTCTCAATCCATGACACAACTCTTATTTTTCCTTCCCAAGAAACTCCGAGAAAATCCATTTTCTTATCAAATATTGATCAAGTTCTCAATTTCAATGTTGAGACTCTTCATTTCTTCCCACCCCACAAAGATTTCCCTCCTCATCTTGTGGCTGAGAAGCTCAGGAACACTCTTTCAAAAGCCTTGGTGCCCTATGATTTCTTGGCTGGAAGATTGAAGGGTAACCCTAAAACAGGAAGATTGGAGATTGATTGCAATGGAGGTGGAGCTGTTTTTGTGGTGGCATCTAGTGAGTACTCTTTGGATGAAATTGGAGACCTGGTTTACCCTAATCCTGCTTTCAAAGAGCTCATTTGTGGAAGCGAAATTGTTAATGAGTTGTTGGGAAAAGATGATGATCAACCGCTTTGCCTTTTCCAAGTAAGTATGCTAAAGAGCGAAAAAGATATCCCTTTATTAGAATTATCGGAGAATTACTATAATGCTAGTTCGATAATGTTACTTTAAGAATTAGTATTACAAAGTTATTTATACGTTTTTTTATGCGATGTTATGAATTACTGATAACAGTACTGATTAGATAATGTTACAACTAGATTAGTTAAAACCTTAATCGTAGAACGATGGATTGTAATTATTCTTGGACGGAAAATTAAGTTGTTTTTATGTGTTCAATTCTACTTTGACTTCGTGCTTCATTATCCACATGGCCGTGGATAACGAAATCTTCTTTTTGGCAATGTAGTTGGTGGCTCATCTACCAAAGCCAGCTTATATATATCAATAAATGTCCCCTTTCTATCTCAATCTTACAACTACACCCATATGACTTTCCACTTCACATTATTAATTAAAGCGACCTTCACATTTATAATAAAAGCATTCACCACCGAATTTTTAGATATACTAAAGTGATAGTTTGTTCTACTTGATTAATTTCTATCATCAAACTACTTTAGCAGAGCTAAGTCATATACACTTATTGGTCATATAATTCTAACTATCTCTAAAAGGGTCTACACAACAGCACAAGAAAATCAATGAAGTCTATCACTTATTGGTGGGTGATTTTTTTTTTTTTTAATTCTCAATATATATAAATAGTAGTTGTTTAAAATATTATTTGTTATGACATATATTACTCTACTAATGTAAAATGTTTGTATTTTTCTTTTAAAATTTGTATCAATTAATGTTACTATTGTCGATAAACACTAAAAAATAAAAATTCAGTCATAACTTTTTCGATTGAAATCTATTAAATTTGTATTTTTGCGTTTATGGGCACTGCTAATGATATTTTAAAAAGATGAGGATATTTAAGAAATTTTAGATATTAAACTTCTAATAACAATTTAGAGTATAATTGATGAATACTAAAAAATAAAAATTCATGAGTTAAATTTTGACATAGAAAACTATAGAAATTGTATTATAGCGTTTACTAGCACTAGTAAATGATTTTTTTTTTTTCCTCTTTTAATTTAAAGAATTTTTTAATTAAAATTTAATATTTGCATTTCAATCTTGTAATTCTCAACCAAGAAAGCAAAATTTCTATAATTTCTCAGTTATTTTCTTGATTACCTACTCAATAATGCTACCCATTTAGTTAATAACCCAAAAAAAAAAAAATTAGGGACATTCTGAGGGATTTTTTTTTTTTTTTAAATATGTGTATTAATTAATTTTCTGTCCTTTACAGATAACATCATTCAAGTGTGGTGGCTTTGCAATGGGCCTATCTACCAACCATGCTACTTTTGATGGTTTAAGCTTCAAAACTTTCTTGCAAAATCTTGCTGCCCTAGCTGCTGATAAACCCTTGGTTGTGATCCCATGCAACGATCGTCAACTTCTCGCCGCTCGATGCCCGCCACGTGTAACTTGTGACCACCCTGAGATGGTTGAACTCAAGTTCCCCCTAGGGCAAGACTCAAATGTTGCAATGTTTGATACCATCCCTGAAGATCTAGACTTCAAAATCTTCAGGCTCACTGCTGCCGACATTGCTTCCCTCAAGGCTAGGGCAAAAGAAACTTGTAACACTCAAAATTACAAGCACATTACTGGATTCAATGTGGTGTCTGCCTACATATGGAGGTGCAAAGCATTATCATTTGGTGAAAATTTTAACCCAGAAAGGGAATCTCGAATGCTATACGCCGTCGACATACGACCCAGACTGAACCCGCAATTGCCAGCATCATACACTGGAAACGCAGTGCTGAGTGCTTACGCAACTGCCAAGTGTGAGGAACTGAAAGTTGGGCCGTTCTCGAAACTGGTGGAGATGGTTTCGCAAGGAACGAAAAGAATGACGGACGAGTATGCGCGGTCGTCGATAGATTGGGGAGAGTTGTACAAAGGGTTTCCACAGGGGGAGTTCTTGGTGTCATCTTGGTGGAGATTAGGGTTTTCAAAGGTGGAGTATCCATGGGGGAGGCCAAGGTATAGTTGCCCTGTGGTGTGTCATAGGAAGGACATAATCTTGCTGTTTCCTGACATCGAAGATGATGAAAATGGGATAAATGTTTTGGTTTCTCTGCCTAAAAAGGATATGGATAAGTTTCAAATCCTCTTCCAAGAGTTGATCTCGGCTTGAAGGGGACTTCTCTAATTAATAATTAATTAAGTTTCTTAATTATATCTCTTTCAATAATGTTATGCTATATATATATATATATATATATATGCAAGTGTGCATGATATATAGTTTGGTTTATTTATGTAAAGCTGAATCAACATTTGGCTGGCTATATAGATCATATACTTTTAGGTGAAGCTAGCTTTAAAATAAGTAATATATTAAGGTATGGTTTTTATTTATTTATTTATACACACCTTAATTAATTTAGTAATTTGGCTGGAATTTTTTGTGCCCAGTTTTTTAACAATTGGTTTTGGAATTTTAAAAAAAAAAAAATTGATCATGATCACCACTATTCACAGTATCATAATCATTGATTAGAGTTTTATGATTCTTAAATAATGATATACAAAATATATAACCCTAATTAATGAGTTATAATATATAGATTAATACCAACATCAAAGAAAAATTTACTTTCATTTTGTGAAATAGAAACAAAAAGACTTATTCTCTTATGGTCGGATAGTAAATCTTTTAGTAACTGAGGTTAGCTATACCAAGGATAGGGAATATTGTATTCGAGTGCAGGAGAGAGGTATCTACCACTTTTTTGCATTTACTTTAGTCCATTGGGTTTGTAGGATATTTTGTAACTCTGAGGATTAGATAGACCCTTGGATATCTCTTATACCTTTTAAAAAAAATATATATATATATATATATATATATAAATGAAACCAGAATAGATTGACCGTACAACTCATTATTCTCTATATTTTTCATATTTAAATTGGCATCATTACAATTAGGATGTCATCTTTGAAATTAATTGTAAGACTATTATTATTAGACTGACATACAAATGAACATATATAGTTTCACTTAGACTGGAGAAAATTACAAAACATATAACCCTCATTAATGAGTTATAATATATAGATATATAGAAAATTTACATTCATTCTGTGAAATAGAAACAAAATTGGATTCCATCCAACATCTCTTTAATTATTCTCTATATTTCTCATATATAAATTGCGTCACTATGATAAGGACATCATATTTAAAACTAATTAAAAGTCTATAAATTATTAGATTGACATACAGACGAACGTCATAGTTTCAATTAGACTTTGAGAAGATTTGCAGTGACCAAAGCCATAGCAATCAAAATCCTCATTTGCTTATTCCTTTCAACAAGAGGATTACTTGGAAATGGAGGGATTTCAAAGTTAGTAGCACAACTCCCTTGAGCTCTTGGAGTTCCTTGTTCTGATCTTTTCATATTTTCATAATCTTTTGCTTCAAATTCTCTTGAAGCCTCTTGAAAAGATTGCTCCACGATTTTGTACCCTTTTTCACAAACCATAAGAGCATTCTTTACTCCTGGATCTGTTGTATTCTTGAGTAGATTTTCAATAAAATTAAACGTGTTGGTTGCATTTTTGAGAGCTTGATCGACTGTGATTTTTGTGAGGCCAATTATATTTGTTGATGGGGATGGTAGATTTTCATTGAATGTTTTGGAGCAAAATCCAAATTGCTCCATTTGATAACAAATGTAATTTATCAAATCTTGGGTTGTTTTGTCACTTGAGGCATTGTGGATTGAGAGAAAGAGAATTAATAAAGGAAGAATAATTTGATAATTACTTGAAGAAGAAGAAGAAGAAGAAGAAGCCATCTTCTTGTTGAAAGAATTGCTTAATTAACTGAATAAGTTTGTGAAATGTCCATGGATGAATTGATATATAATCTTGGGTAGTTCAGGTTTTGGTTTTACAGTTTGATATATTTGGAAATCTGTTGTGATTGTTAGCAATTAGAGATGGTGTAGCATTTTACTAGTAGGCGTTGGTATTATTTTAAAATACACGCCGGTACTAGTAATGGTTAAACTTCGAAGATGACATTTGAGAATTTTTGTGTTTATATAGTTTTTTTTTTAGACACCTATCTAAAATTTCAGTCTTTGTTAAATGACATTGATAGATAGTTTCGTGGCGAATGAAATATAAATTTATTTTGAAATTTATAAATTTTAACTTTTAAGTGTTTATGGACTAATCGATTCTATCTAATGACTTTCAATTTGAAAAATAGAACTTTCACTCTTTGGAATATATTCAATTGTCTTGGAGAGACGAATCAGATATCAGTGCATTTATAGTTTAGAATTCTCACTTATTTAGAGTCTTAGACAATAAAAAAAAAAAAAAAAAAAAATTTACCATTAAAAAAAAAAAAAAAAAGATTTTGGACTCCATAAACGGAGTAAAAGGTTGGGCTTGAAGTGTACCTGGATCCATCCCAAAAGAAGCTGAGCCCTTGGATCTAAACATTTCTGGTATAAGGTTTGATAGAATTATTCATTCTCTAATAAGAATACCTTACTTTACAAAAATCGTATGGTCTATTTAATCTCAATTATCAAGAATTATTTATATTTGGGGTTAACTAAGTTGAAACTAATTATTTAGTCATTTAAGCCTCAATTTCTTGTGCCAACTTTTTTAATTATCAAATTTGGGGAGAATTTTTCCTGATGAGCACTATTAATTATTAAATCTATCTTACTAACCCGGGACATTGTCTTTTGACTCTCTTTGGTTTTTTTCTTAACCTGGGGCATGTTCTGAGATAGCAGGAAAAGTTTTTTTGTGTATTTACATAGTCTTGTATAGGCTATTTTTGAGGTTCTTACCCAGAGAATTGTTACGAGGTAGGTTGGCTGCTTTTATAGACCGTTTGTACATTTTTTTCACTTTTATAATGAAATCTTACCAAAAAAAAAAAAAAATCTACCTGAGGAACTTTGAGTTACTACCTACTATTTTAAGATTTTAAGTGGAGTGGTAACTTAACAAAACTCTCTAATTGCTGAAAAGATTTTCCTCTTTCTTGCTAATCTTAAAACTAGTTGTAAAGAAGATGGAATAAAAGTAATTACCTTTTACCGAAAAGATGGAATAAAAGTGTACTATCTTATCGTCACTACAAGAAATTCGATTCTTCTTGAGAAAACTTTTCCTTGCTGAAATTATTTATCGGTGCCCTCTTCTTGCATAGAGGCCCTCAGAATTCAGAAATAGTTAAGAAAAAGAAAAAGAAGTTTCTCATAAATTTGACCTTTCGGAATATATGGATGCGTTTGTTCAAGTTTTTAGAATAGTATTCTATTCTGAATATGACTTAATCAAGTATGATAGAATTCTGAGAATGTGTTTGATACATTTTTGAAAAATATTTTCTGAAAATGTTTAGATTATTTTAAACCCCTACATTTGTTAATTTAACTAAACAACCCCTATAATAAAAGTTTATAAATTAACAAAAACACCCCTACCCACCCAACTATTATCGGCAGCCGACCACCGCTATTAGATGGTGGCCGGAAGCTGCTGGAATGGTACACGAATGACTGGATTTGGCCAATCGTGAGCCGATTTGGCATTTTCCGACCAAATCCATCGGAAACAGCCAAATCTGCGGCCAAAGATTTGGCTGTTGATAGCTAGATCTGATCATTGACAACGACCATATCTTGGCCGTTGTGGACGGCCAAAGACCAAGATATGGCTGTCGTCAATGGCTAGATCGGCCACCCAGTCGTGCGCTATTTCGGCGAGTTTCGACGACCGTTAGACGGTGGTGTTTGACTGCTGGCAATAGTTGGGTGGATAGGTGGGGGTGTTTTTGTTAATTTATAAACTTTTATTGAGAAAAGTAATTTTAAATGTTTTAAGTTAAATAAAACCGGATTGGATTTTGAATTGAATAGTCAATCTTAAAACAAATACGTATTTCATTGGATTGGATAGGACAGCGTTTAAAAACTTAAACAAACACAGCCTATACTTTTAGGGGGTGTTTGGTTGGAGTTAATATCATATTATTGGGATAATGTCATCTTTTATTACTTACATTACCATCTTTGGTTGTCAAGTAATATAACATTCCGATAATCTTTCAAAATCAATAGTAATTATTATTGGTTATATAGGTGGTAATATAAATACCACTATTTTCTTAGGTATTTTAATATTACTTTATAATCTTAATTTTGTTACAATTTTACCCTTAAGTATTAAAATTTTTGAACAATAATTCCCTTATTTTGAAAATAATTTACAAAAATATTCATGTACTATTTTATCCTTATATACAAAATTTTTCAGACATAAATATCCTTAAACTTAAAAATAATTACCCAAGACTGGTGGCCGACAGCCAACCGACAGTGGCTTGGGTGGATGGGGTCTTTTTGTTAATTTTTAAACTTTTATTGTGAGGCTGTTTTAGCTAAATTCTCAAATATAGGGGGTTAAAAATAATCTAAATAGTAATAATAAAATAGAAGGGCAATTCAATAATAAAATAGAAGGGCAGTTTAGTATTTATGTGAAGTTTATGAAGTGTGATAAACTAAAAATGATTTGGGTGGTTTCAAGTTTGACAAATATCCACCCTTGGGTAGGTCAAGTGGTAGGACGAGTGTTGGGATGCGTGGTTAAGGCGCATGGTCTCAAGTTCGAACTTTCTTGACTCCCAAGATTTAAGTGGGAGGCCGTGGCGGTGCGTTGCTATGCTAGTCTCTTCCGAGGATTAGTTAAAATTTGTGTAAGTTGGCACCTTGGTTTAAAAAAAATAATAATAAGCTTGACAAATATATATAATTTTACGAGAAAAAAAAAAAACAAATGAATAGTAACTCTCGGCCTATTATAAACATCATAAACTAGCTAATATAATTGCAAGATTTGTTTTCAAGACAAATATATATAAGTTTAGGAGAAAAACAACAAATGAATAGGTAACTCTCAGCCTATTATAAACATCATAAACCACAGAAAAATGCTTTGTTTACATTGATTAGCTTGCAAATAAATGAATAGTTAACTCTCGGCATTTTCCCATAAATTTTTTCTTATAACTCCGATGTGACAGTTTGCAATTGATTAGTTTGTAATGAATTTCATCTGATCAATTGCGATTGACTAATTACGAGATGCAATATCGAGATTGTTAGAGAAAGTTTATGAGAAGAGGTTATGAGTATAATATTACTTTAAACTAGAATATGTAAAGTTAAGTGGTTATGCGATTGCAAAGTGTAAAGAATTAATAGTGGCCGTTTTCAAGATTATCAAGGCAATTTCACAAGAAGCAAAAGGGGTTTCCTCAATAGATAAATAGAATCTTATTATATATATATATAACAACTTTTACGATACAAAAACATACTAATTACCATAACATAAAATCCGTTTATAGAACAGGATTTTTATCAGACAATGCTAACATATACATATACGGACGATTACGTACAATCATCGACAGGATGTCACAAAAACTTTACTTATAAAATACTTGCCCACACACATTAGCCATAGCAAGAAGAGTCCTCATTTCTTTATTTTGTTGAACAAGAGGATTCTTAGGATGTGGAGGAACATCAAAGCTAGTTAGACAACTATCCAAAGCTCTTCCTGTGCCATCCACAACATCAGGAATAACTTTATAATTATGTTCCTCAAATTCAACGGTGGCTTGCAGGAATGATTGCTGAATTATACTGTATGCATTTTGGCAAGCAATGAGAGCATTCTTCACAGCTTGATCCGTTTCACTGGCGAGAAGATTGCTGATAGATTCACCTGTCTTGCCAGCATTGTAGAAAGTTTGTTGGATAGTGATCTTTGCTAGGCCATAGATATCTGTTGATGGAGATGGTAAATTATCTGTGAGTGTTTCGCGGCAAAATTCGGTTTCGGGCGCCATTTGATTGCAGATTTGATTTATCAAATCTTGGGTTTTTTGGTCACTTGATGCCTTGTGGCTGAAGAGGAAGAGGATTAATAGAGGAAGAAGAATGTGATGAATATAAGAAGAAGGAGACATTTTTAATTTGAATGAAGAGTTGCTTAATTGGCTCGTGAGACATGCATGTTTATATATGATTTATGATCTTTAATTAACATCTATTTTTGAGTTATAGTTTGATATATATGGAAATTTGTTGGTGTGGTTAGCGATTAGAAACGGTAATATCATCTATCTATCTATCAGTTTATTTATAGATAACCACATAGAGTCATTAGTTATTATTGTTTAGATAATCACAAAATTTTGTGGTATTTGAAACAAAAAAGTTCGATTAAAAATTTATTTTTTAGAGTTAATCAACTAAATTTTGATGTAAATCATCATTGGGTGACTTGATGGTAAAAAAGCAAAGGGGTCTAACATGAGCTCTTGAGTTTGAGTCCCCTAGGCACTAATAGGGTTGGACATTGAGGGGATTTACTTGACTATTCATTTCAAGACCTAGAGAGATTAGTTGGGGTGCGCGCAAGCTGGCCTGGACACTCCCTGTAAAAAAAAAAAAAAAAAAAATTAATGTTAACTAATACAATAAAACCTCTCTATAGTGATACTCCATATAAGAATAATTGTAGTCATAAAAATTTTGGTCCCAACTTGGGCTAGTTATAAATAAGAATAAATTTCACATTATAATAAATTATAGTTTTTCTAGATCCCGTCTTAAGGAACTTACCTATATATAGTAATAATTGTATGTATATTATAAAATAATATATGTTATGTTATATTAAATGTTTAAGATGAAATAAAATATTTATCTAAAGTTGTTTGAGACAATAGTTTATTTATGCTTTAGAGTTGTTACCATATTTTTAATCTTGCAGGTACGTAATAAGTTGCCAACATGGAAACCTTCTTGTTGAAGCCAAAATATTTCTAACTGCATGTTTGGAGCTTCTTGGCACGAAACTTTTGGTATTTCCGTACTATATTCATCCTCAGGATTGCCTCCTTCCTCTTCTTGTTTAATTTCAGTAATGATTTATTCTTCAGTTAAAACATACACTACTTGTTGCTCATTTGGATGATTAAGAAAGATATTAATATCCATTTGATTAGTGTAGTGAAGTTGTCATATTGATCATTCAATTTTATAATGACTCTTTGATATTCATTTCCATACTATCCTGATGCAACTAAAACAATGAATTGAAATCTTAATACTACTAAAACATGAATTATAAAATAAGAAATCAAAACAATAATTTTTTAATTAAAACAATAATTCTTGTAACTACACTTCTATTAAGTTATAACCTCCTTATAGTAATAAATTTAGTTAGTCATAACATTATGATTATAGAGAGATTTTACTGTATTAATAAACCGGAGTTCAGATCTTATAAAATGCAAACGTCAACATCGAAGTATATATATGTATTTATAATTAGCTATAATCGATTGAAATATAAAGGATAAAATTTCTCATATAAGAATTGATCCAAAATAGATATATTAACACAAATCAAAACAAAACATCCGAAAGAGAGAATGATAAAAATATAGGCTTTTTTTTTTTGGGGGGGGGGGGGGAGAGGATAACTCCAGAAATTATATAAAGAATAAAGAATAATACAACCTAAGGATAACTCCAGAAATTATATAAAGAATAAAGAATAATACAACCTAAGGGAGGGGTCTCCCCTTAACAACTAAGTCCCAAGGACAGGCCCAAAGGACAAAGAGCCACACAAAAAAGGCCAAGAGCAGCCAGAGGATATTCACCCTTATACACAAAAGAACCAAACACAAGTCTAAACAAAAGACCCTAAACTGTCCAGAAGAAGCAACTCTGCACAATCAGCAAACCGCTCTTGGAGACAACACAAAAACATCAGCTTCCAGCCAGGGAAGTAGCCAAGGGTTTTCAGTGAGTGGGTTCAAAATATTTAAGTTGATAAATTTACAATAAAATTTTGTAGGGTCAAAATTATAAATATAAAACCATTTTTTTATTTTGATCAAAGTTTGAGTGGGTTCAATAAAACCCATATGTCGTAGTGTGGCTACCACTTTCCTAATCTTTTATGCACAAGCTACTAGAATGTAGCAGCCTTAGGTACAATCTGTACCAAAAAACCTGCAAGAGGAGAGTATACAACACATTGTCCATCCATAGCATAGGCTCCGTATGTTTAAGTTTTTAGAATAGTATTCTATTCTGAATAGGATTTAATCAAATACGATAGGATTTTGAGAATGTGTTTGGTACATTTTTGAAAAATATTTTCTGAAAATATTTAATTAAAACCTCCCACAATCAGAGTTTATAAACGAACAAAAACACTCCTACCCATCCAACTATTATCGGTAGCCAGTCACCACCGTCAGACGATGGCCAAAAGTCGTCAGAATGACGCACAATCAGCTAAATCTGGTCAGTCATGCATCGATTTGGCCCTTTTTAGCTAGATCTACCATGGATTTAGCTGTAGATCTGACCATTTTTTACCAGATCGGTGCACGAACGGCCGAATCCAGCTTGTCAAGCGCCATTCTGGCAACTTTTGACCACTGCTCGATGGTGGTGGTCGGCTGTGGACAATAGTTGGGTGGGTGACTGTGTTTTTGTTAATTTATAAATTTTTATTAAGAAAAATAATTGTTAAATATTTTGAATTCGATAGAATAGGATTTGATTTTAAATTGAATAGTTAATATTAAAACAAATATATATTTTACTTGATTGGATAAGATAGAAAGATAGGATAAGGATTGAAAAGTTAAACAAAAAGGGGATAGATTGCCTCCGGTTTTCCCCTTTCCCACTACGTTTCTTCTATTTTTAGTGCTAGTAAAAGAGGCCTGAAACTGCTGCTCCATAAAAAAATATAGTTTAGAATATGGAAATTGATTCTTTATAGCCTGTACTTGAATAATTTCTGTCAACTTTGAGGTTAATTGGACACCCAAAAGGAAGCTACATCAATTGGGCTTGCTGCTGGAGTGTGTGCCCTCATCCATCCCATATGTAAATTATTTGCATTTATCTTCAATTGAGAATTGTAAGATAGTAATCGATAAAATTTTTTAAGGGGTGTTTGTCTAAGCTCATAAGCTCTAAAATTAAGCTGACATATTTGTTTATAATCTTTTTGAACTTATAAGTGTACTTTTTTTTTTCTTATAAGTGTACTTTTTTTTTTTTTCTTATAAGTTAGTTTGATCAAGTATATTATCACATTATCCTTGTTTAATTTTAAAATTTCACAGTATATCCTTGTTTAATGTAGTACCATTTTTAGTTATTTTATAATAAAATGTACTTATAAGCCACATTTTACCAAACACGTCAATTACTTATCAGTCACTTATAAGTACTTTAATTAAACACGTAATTGCTTAAAATTTCAAATGCTTATATTAGCTTATAAGCACTTGTTACTTATAAGCTAATTTTCATAAGCTAAGACAAACACCTCTTTGGTCTAAGTTATGCTTAATACTAGTTTCATAACATTATTAATTAACTTAATTAACATTATTATTTTATCTAGAATTATTACCTTATGGACTTATTTTCAAGTCATCTTATTAATTTTTTTTCTTTTTGGAAACCAGGGTATTCGGACTAGTTTGTGTACACCTCAATTAATTCACGGGGTCCATTGAATACCCTACAAGCTCAAAGAATCAGCTAAGCCATAAAGTTATTGTGGTAGATGACCCAAAGTTTGAACCAAGAAACTTAAGAAAATGAGTAAACCTCATTGACCACTAGGTCAACCCCTTGAGGTTTTCAAGTCATCTTAATTGAATCACACCTTGTTTGAATAATTGAATTTATAACATATGAAACAAGAATTCGTATTATTAATTTAGATGATAATAAGCTGAAGGGCAATACATCGAGTCCCGATACTTAATTAAAAGTTCCTACATAATTTAATTTACTAAAGACATAACCTTAATCATAATTAATAGTTAAAACAGAAATAGATAACTTAAAAATTGAGCAAACTAACATTGACATCATGCATCATCCATATATCATGAGATGCATGCATGCATGTATGTTAAAGCTAGAATGTGTGACGTGAACTTCATTAACAAGGATGCATGAATGGATCATCGATACATCACATGCATGTATTCATAGTCTCCTTCCTCCGGAGCCAGTCTCCTTCTGGCAATTAAAGTAAACAGCAGACACCGGAGCTCCGAGATTGTAAAGCTCGGCGAAGTCTCTGGTGCTGAAGTTCTGGCGCCAACCCGGTGCATACACCGTCTGCCTTCCTAATTGCCGGAACAGAACAAAAACAAACCGGTGAATCCCCAACGTTGGCCGTGGACTCTCATAACACCATAACTCTTTCCCTGGAAAACATTTATTTCTACGTAAGTCTCATTCCATGCATGATCAGAATTAGTAGCACATCGATTAGTAAGAAAAAAACACTATGATAATGGTGATGGAAGAACAAAGTTGAGGAGGTGCTTTCAGAAACCGTACACGATTAGAATCGCAAAAGAGAGTTAAAAGTCAGCTGGAAGAAAGAGAAGGGCACTGTGTGGAAGAAGGGATGATGCTGTTAGGGTAAGAAAAAGAGAAAAAGAGAAAAAGATTGAGAAAATTTCAGGCCCTTGATAGAGTGACAACTTGTGGTGGAGATATTTTTTATTATATTATTTTATTCGATTTGATTTGATTTGCTTTGTCTGAAATACGAAATTGACAACCTCTTTTGACTCTCTCTTATCTCCCTTGAATTAATCCCAACATGAATCGAATCAACAAGTTTCCAAATCAGTGATTTTTCTTTGGTTTCTTCTCATAATAAAACTATAGATTTAATCAATTAAATATAAGAAACTCACCGAAGTTTGCTCCTGTTGTTGCTGGAATATCAGTCACCATCCTAACAAATTCATCATTTTGAACAAGTTAATCCAGATATAAACAGAATATATAACTATTGCGAATATTTTTAAAAGATTGAAAAAAAAACTTTTTTTAATGTATTAATATGATTTTTATAATTATGTTGGTGATCTTAAAACAGGTCATATATAAAAGTATGACACATGAAAAAGATGTAACAAATGCTGATGGAACAAATATAATAAGTTAGAAGACTTTGCTGTGAGAGAAAGATGAAGTGGGGAAATAAATTCTAATGGAATAAAATAGAGAAAAAAAAATTGTATAGTTCTGGGTACGTACAAAATACATGTAGGAACTGTTTAAATTGTGGCCACAAATTGAAACCAAGTACAACTAAATTTTGTTAATTCTTGGTGGTTCGTCTCTTCTTGAGAGAAAAGAAAATTATATAGTTCGGGTACGTACAGAAAATATATGTAGGAACTGTTTAAATTGTGGCCACAAATTGAAACCAATTACAAGTAAAGTTTGTTAATTCTTGGTGGTCCTTCTCTTCTTGTCATTCCTTCAGACTTTCAGTTAATAAAAAACAAACACAAAGAGAGAGAGAAGAGAAAAGAGTTGTTTGTCTCTTTAGTTTAAGCGATTTGGCATAAAACACTTTCGGCTCGCTACATTTTGAAAGAAGATACTGAAAAATCCATGTCGAAAAAGAGAAAATATGAAGCTAGTTACCAATGCAAATACTCCCGCAAACTGGGATTACTTGGGCTTGGAGCATCAGGATCCACCATCACCTAAAATGGAACCAAAAAATAAGCCATAACCAGAAACCCTAAATTTAGAGGAAGAAGAAGAAGAAATTTTAAAGGGTTGAGCTAGAGTTACCAAAGTGTAGAAATCTCTGAGATCAGTGCCACCAATATCGACCCTAGGTATATTTGCAACTTGAGAAGGCTTGAGCTCAACGCCATTGCCGACTTCCTTGTTATTATAGCTCACTCTAAGGCTAACAGACCTAATGAATCCGTTGACAACGTCTCCGATGACTCTGCCGATGACAAGAGGATCTCTCGTACCACTCTCCCTAGCCATGCTAGTGAAGAACAAATTAAAGAAATTAACTAAAGTTAGAATATTCTGGTGTAGTGAAATTTTGTTGGAGGATATATGAGTTTGCAAGAGAATACAAGAGCTCTTTATAAATTCTTGTGTGTGGTACTGTGGTGCCACTTTCATGTATCTTTAGTTAGTTGACCGCCGTTATAATCTGCCTTTTTCTTTATTTTTTTATTTATAAATTTAATATTTAATTTAATTTCATGATTCCTAAACGTAGCAATATATGGTAGTGGGAAAGATAAAATTTATCCACTATGAGGTTTTGGTCAGTTAATCTAGATCCTGCATTTTAAAATACTAGAATTTACCCCCTTGAATTTAACAAATGTTTACATAATCAATTAATTGGGACGATTTTTATTATTTAAAGACCTAAGTACAATCTATTTCTTCTTAACCTTTGTTACAATAAGGGGAATATATCTCAATGAGATATACTCTAAACTGTAGGACTTGGAATAGCGGACCTAAACCCCCTTAAGTGCAATTTGACTCTATATGGGGTGATACAATGGAAAACAATATTTAAAGTGATAGAAGTGGACCTCTCTGAGCCCTCTCTATCTTATCATATTCTCATTGAGAACAATTATGCTCAAGTTGGCATTAGGACAGCATCTTAATTGGGATAACATAATTCATGTTAAAGCTGTTTTGTTTTCTTAATCTAGTCGCGATTGCACGTAAAACTGAAATTAAGAAAGAATCCTGACTTTGATAGCGTTAAAGTTTCATTTTTTTCCACATCAGATTTCATCTGAGTCATATCAGTTAAACACCTAGCAAATGCTCTAGTTTCATATAAGAAGTTAACGTTAAAGTTATGTTTCCTTTTACATCATATTCTTGCTCTAGTTTTTTAATTTTGGATATATGAGGGATTTCCAACCTCACATTGGAGTAGGGTTACAAAACCTACAAGCTTAATGAACCAAGGTAATTGCACAAATGTGGTAGGTATCTCTGTTGCGACTCGAACATAAGAACCCTTGTATTTCCTTTTACATCATATTCACGCTCTAGTGTTTTTTGGGTATATGAGGGGTATCCAGGTTGACATTGGGGTTTGTCTAATCCTCAAAGTCATGGAATACCATATAAATCCAATGGATCAAGATAATTGCACAAATGTGATAGGTACATTTCCTACGACTCGAACACAAGAACCCCTATGTATAACTAATCTTAATAGCTAAAGGGTTTGTCATCCCACTACAAAGAGAAAGATTATTCATGCTCTAGTTATCATTTATGAACTAAGATTTTTCAATTAATTAATTAATTAAACACAATTAGTCACATATACTCTAATCAACGTATCATGTCAAGTTTTAATTGTCTTAAAAAGGGAATTTTTTAAAAAGAAAATAAAGTTTTCTTGAAGATCAGATTAGCTGTCATTGTGGTCAACGGTTATTATCAAAAAGTGGATCGAAATTGAAATGACATCATAAGGCAGACAGGAGAAATCATGATTATTTCAACTTTTGTTGCTAGTAAGGAATATATTGAAACAGACATGAAACTAATTTGACCTAATTATTTAATTACAATTTGAGATTTAGGGTTTTTTGAAAAGATTTAGTATGACTAAATTTTTGCTAACAAGAGCTAGAAATTTGACCTCAATATCAGTTACCTCTTAAAAGAACATTTGCAAAAGAGATAAATAAATAAAGAAGAGTACAACAATACATAACACCATAAACAACACTATAAACTCAATATGTAATTAACAAAGCGAAAACAATCATAGTCTATAAAGTAAACAACCCTAGTTTCTAAGACACTTTACCCATGGTGTCTATTGTTTAATAAACCTTTACATCAAATATACCTTATGCTCTCACATTTTTTCATAGCCGTAACCCTTATACTAATAGGTAGGATATGAGACATTTTATTTTTAATAGGATTCATATTTCAATTTCTAATAGGTAACTTGGCAAAACGGGCAGGACAGGTGGGTACGAGCCGAGTCTTATGGGTCCAACGGGGACGGATCCAAAAGAACTGGTTCTAAACGGGTAACAAAATTGGACCCATACCCTATCCTACGAGGGTAGGGGTGGACTCGCGGGCACCTGTTCACAATTTTCATTTGTTACAATCACACTCCCACAATTTAATCAACTCCTGCAAATTCATTTCAATTCAACACACAACCAACTCTCAAACGCGTATGTGGGCTGCACAGCTGCTGTATGGTGATGTGTGTGTGTGTGTGGCTGGCTTCTTGGTGTGAAGGCTGTATGTTGGCTGTGTGTAGGCCGTATGGTAGCTGCTCTATTGGGCTGTGATTTTGGCGTAATGTGGCTGGTGTGTGGCGCTTGGAAGATGTGGTTGAGTGTTAGCTTGTGAGACAACAGGTAGGTGATGTTTAGGCTAAGGGAAGATGCTGGGAGGGATGAATGGGAGGGTGGGCAAAAGGTATTGTTGTGTGTAATGGCTGAGCAATGTAGGTAGCTGTGGTTGTGGTTGGGCGCAATTGGGCAGGCAGTAGGGCTGAATGGGGCGTGGAATGTTTGTAGCTTGGCTGTAGGTTGCGCATGGACAGGATGTTGCTGGTAATGGGATGTGTGTATGATGGTGAGAGTGGCCTGGGCAATTTATCAAGCAAGTGGTGGGCAAGGTGAAAACTGAAAATGGCGAATTCCACAACCAGCAGAGTCAACCACAAAATCCATTTCAACACTTCCAAATCAAACTCCAGAACAACAGGTTTTCCAATCAACATGGGCATCAATCTCCCAACCAACACAACAAGCAAATGAGTTTTGAAAACAAACCTGATGCAGATCGTGGAAGCAGCCAGTGGAGTCGCGCGGTGGTTGCTTGATAAATGAGTTTTGAAATCGAAATTGGAACTGATAGATTGGAATACTAACTTTTTCCAACCACATAAGGATAACCCTTTCCAAGCTAGTGTATTTTAATTAACAAAGTTAGTTGTGTTGTTGATGAGAAGACTTAAAGAGAAGAAGAAAATTTTAGAGAATCGTAGGGGAAGTCTAGTGGGAAGAGAGTGAAGTTGAAGAGAGGAGACACGGAGGAAGAGGGGAAAGAGAACTGGGTTGCGTCTGGTTTGCGTTTTCAGATCCAATAATACTATAGTAACAATCATCTCTCACAAACATTCTTTCACAATCCTGATATGACAGTTCACAAACCTAACATGATAGTTTATAATTTGTCAATTCACAACGAGTACCATATAGATTCTACTAATTAATTATAAACTGGCCAATTGCAAGTTATCACGTTAGGATTGTGAGAGAAAGTTTACGAGGGAGTGATATTGGTGTAGTATTACTCTTTTAGATTATGTTTCAGGTTTTTTATTTTTTTTATGGGTATCCGCATATATATTCGACCAAAAAAAGACCGAGCCTAATACGATAAAAAAAAACTAGTCTAAAATGAGAGACTTATACCCTATATTATCTCGATGAGTATAGATCCATCCGTACCGTTTTGCAAGATTTAACAATATCCCAACAAAATCGAGATTCCCAAGAGCATTGGTATATCTCATCAAATGTAAGGTTTTTAGGTTTGGGTAATGCTACGCTCACAAACTCTTCTTATTAACTTTCTTTCACAAACATGATGTAATAGTTCGCAATGGGTCTCGTTTGCCCAACAACAGGTCCTACCTCACCAATTGCGAGCTGTTACGTAGTGTTTAAGAGAGAAAGTTAATGATAAAGATTTATCAATTTATCTTTATTGTTTAAGGTTTACTTTGAAAATGAGTATATAACTACCACAAAATCCTACATANCTAAATAGGTTCCAAAACAGGTTCCAAACAGGTTCCAAAACAGGTTTCAAAACAGGTTCTAAACAGGTTCCAAAATAGGTTCCAAACCGGATACCCCCTACAGGTTCCAAACAGGGTACCCTTTTTACAGGTTCCGGTTCTGTTTCCTCCACATGCAAGAACCGGAACCGGAACCGTACAGTAGCGGTTCCAAAAAATTGGAACCGAAACCTACCCGCACAGTGCAGGTTCTGGGTAGGTTCCGGTTCAAGTTCCGGTTCTACCCGCTACCCGTGCTCACCCCTAAGTCTATGACAACAACTATCTCTCACAAACTTTCTCTCTGACGTGTTAATTTGCAATTATCAATTCACAATGGATATTATATAGGTTCCACTAATTAATTACAAATTGATCAATTGCGAGTTATCACGTTAGGATTGTGAGAGAAAGTTTATGAGAAAAAGTTATTAGTATAGTATTACTCTTTTAGATTATGTTCCGGTTTTTTATTTTTTTTATGGGTATCCGCATATATATCCGACCAAAAAAAGACCGAACCTAATACGATAAAAAAAAACTAGTCTAAAATGAGAGACTTATACCCTATATTATCTCGATGAGTATAGATCCATCCGTACCGTTTTGCAAGATTTAACAATATCCCAACAAAATCGAGATTCCCAAGAGCATTGGTATATCTCATCAAATGTAAGGTTTTTAGGTTTGGGTAATGCTACGCTCACAAACTCTTCTTATTAACTTTCTTTCACAAACATGATGTAATAGTTCGCAATGGGTCTCGTTTGCCCAACAACAGGTCCTACCTCACCAATTGCGAGCTGTTACGTAGTGTTTAAGAGAGAAAGTTAATGATAAAGATTTATCAATTTATCTTTATTGTTTAAGGTTTACTTTGAAAATGAGTATATAACTACCACAAAATCCTACATAACTACATGCATATTTTGCTTCATGTACTATATATTTAAACTCAAAATGTATCTAGATTCATAGTGATTTTTGAGTTCATAAAGTAATGTATATAAAACTGCTTTACGGAGGAGAGTTCTTATTTCACCATCAAGCTAACCTTGAGGAAAGATACCCTTGTGACCAGCACTTCGATTTTTTACAAAAGAATTAGAAAATTTGAAAGATTCATTGGTATCTCTTAGTTTCTGGAATAAAGAAAAATACATTAAATTAATCATCTTTGGGTAATTGAATGGTTCGATAAGGACTATTGAATGTATTATTTAAAAAGTTTTGACTTCAAATC